TGATTGTAAAGTGTAATGTATGGAGAGGTCCCTTTTCCCCTGGAACCTCTGTGGGCTTTGGTCTCACTGATACAGAGAGCTCTCTTACCTCCCATTGGGGTTCTGACCCCAGCTGAACACTTCTCAGTTCTCTCTAGAGAGTAAACATTTGACACTGTCATTCTTTGGCTTCACAGTGGTCTCTAGAAATGTGAATATCTTCTCTTTTGCCCTGATTTTCCATTGTTCCATTGCCCTTGGGAGGGTTTTATGTTTTAATAATAGAAATGTACAGTACAAACTGTACCTCTGTCAGTGACATTTTGAAAGTCATGAGAAGTTTGTGGGATGTTTTAAAAAAAAAAAAATATTTTCATGTTTAAAAGCATTGTCCATACCTTTTTTACTTAGATTTCAAAGTGTCTTAAGGGACACATACTGCCATCCCAATTAGAAGGTTGGGGACATACTCCATGCCCTGCTAAGAGAGAGGAGGAGAATTGAGGTGGGTATCTGAAGTGGCTGAGTTAAGGTTACACAGTAAGTCAGCAGCAGTTCTTCCCTTGAAAGTGATGCTCTGGGCTGGCCTTAATTCTGTGGGATTTTTGACAATGCAAATACTAAGACCTTGCAGCATCAGTTATTTCTTTATTTTATTTTATTTTTTTTTTATTTTTTCACTAAAAGGCAGTGAACATAACTGTTGGCTCTACGGGAATTGTAAAATGGAAAACTGCAGGAAATCGAAGTACACAATCTTGAAACATTCAGTAACTAATATAGGTATAAAATAGCAGGGGAAAAATGCAACTTGTTCTCAAAACCTCTTTCTTAGTGGCAATGCAAAACCATTCTTCTGTCAAATAATGTCTTGGTTTTATTAGGAGCGCTTTTTTTTTTTTTTTTTTTTTTAATTGAAGAACCGCAGGCCAGTGTTAGTCTCAATTATTTCTGCAATAATTAAACTTTGGTTGGCATATGTTTCAAATTAGTGATTTACAATCTTCACTATGCAGTGACCTTAAAGGTACGGCTCTGTTTTGGAGCTGTTCTAGAGTTGTCCAGCAGCACAGCTTCCCATCCTGCTTCCCCCCTCTGATGTTGTGTGGTTTTTGCTTGGTTCAATCATTTTAAGTGCATGCTTAAAGCACTGAAAACATTTTTGAAGGAAATGGTTTTAGTTTCAGCACTAACAGTGGAGCTGCTATTGCAACTGTAGCTCACTCTGAGCTGTTACAGTCTTCAAAAGTAATTTTTCTCTTGCATAAGCCATGGATAGGACCATTTCTTAAGTGTCAAGACAGCAAATGAATACACTGTATGCTTTTTGCACAAAGCTATTGGCTGGGACAGTTGGCAGAGTCCTTCATACACTGCAAATGATGTCTTCTCTATATTTCAAATAGCGATCAGTGAGTTTGTCAGTCTAGATACAAACTGTCTGAAGAAAATTGCTCTTTACAATCTACGGTTTCTTATAAAAGGATAGGCATCCAGGTACCCACTAGAAAAAAAGCATGTTTGCTTTGTGGGATTTGGAATTTGTGTAGGAGTAGGTGGTAGTGATTTGCATTCAGGTCCTATGAAGCTCAAGTCCCTGCTTTCAGGGTTGTTCACTCTCTTGCTGCTCACAGCACCCCTGTAACAAGTCCTCCGTAATGAAGTACCTTCTCTTGCATGCAGAGAGCAATATGCACTCTTTCAAATAATGGCCAAAAAAATAATGTTCCTAGTGTTTTGTACTTGATTTACATCAACTACTGAATTTTGAACAATAAACTGAAATTGCAAAGAAAGCTTGAGGTTAAGTCTTTACAGCAGTTCAGTTTGGTGCCTATCCTGTAATTTTACATCAGCTACAGCTCCATTAAGCATCAGCCTGGGAGTGTAACTTCTTTTCTTCATACTGTGGATGTGCAGCATATCTGGTGCCATGCTTAGCATCTACACGTGTAGTGTCAGTATTTCTTCATACATACTGCTGATCTTAAGACAGTAGAGATAAACAGCCAGTAGGCAAACAGGTACTTGGGCTTCACAGTGCAGCATGTTCATTAGAAGAGGTAGGTGATGTGTCAGAATGTAGTTATCCTTTATCTGGCATTATCTGCCTTACTGGGAGCATTGCAGTTGCACTTCTTTCTCCCTGTTGCTTCGGTCGTGTGGATATATGACAGCTCAGACTGATTGTGTATTGATTGGGGTTCAAGCTGATTTAATCTCTCCATGCTTTTTAAACCGTGTGAGTTCTCAAGTATCAGCCTGTGCTAGGTTTTGATGGTGCACTGAATAGCTGAAGTTAGGCATTAAATCCTCAAATAAGAGAAAATGTTTCATTAATCTCAGTACACTGTGACTACAGTAACACAGAGGTGCTTAAGATGCCTATAGGCTGCTCTTTGAGCAGTGGGTAATATAACAATGTGTCTTTCTGACTGCAGGGAACAAGAGAACTCAAGATTCTTTACTGTAGCTAAGGTTGACCCCAAAAGAATTGTTACACTGTTGTGTTTCTCATCATGAATGGGCACATATCAATAAGTCATCATCGTAAATCTGAGCAGCTCTGTTTTTCACCATTTTCAAATCAAAACTCATAAGCTGTCCTGATTAAGATGTATAAGAAATAGTCTCTAGTAAATTATACCGATGAGTTGTGCTTCCGAGATTCTTTTGTTTAAAAGGCATCTTTTGTCTCAGTCAAAATCATTTGAGCATATCTATTATGCTTATGCTTTTATTCTCCCTGCCCCACTATGTGTTTTTTTTTTTTTTTTTTTTTTTTTTTTTTTTTTTTTTTTTTTTTTTTTTTTTGCCAGAGCTTTCCCAGTTTCAAAGAAAAAAAGAGCTGGATGGCTATAGTGTTTACTGAAAGCCTGGCCATACCAGAAGCATCCTTTGGTATGCCTTCTTTCTACTGTGGAGGGCACCACTACTGAACTCCAAGGGAATTCATAGCAGGATAATAGGTACATTGTATCCACAAAGCATACTTCAACTTCCTTCCTAATGTAGCATAATTCACGATGAATGGATGTCTGGATCCTCTTTGTATGTATTGAACACTGTGCAAGTAGAATTTTTTATAACTTTGTATCAACTGGCATTTCAGAGTCCTAGTAAATAATAATAATAATA